GGAATAGTGTAAATAATATGCATAACTATAATAGTGGAATAAGCAATTTGCATAACTAAAATTGTAACGTACAATACTGGTAAGAAACTTGCATGCATAAGTTAATAAGCATCTTAAAAAGAAGAAAAAGTCTACTGCAATTTGCATTCTTGATATTTCCTTCTCCATGCAAATTCCATGATCTATTTGACCAACCTCCTGAAAAATGAATAAATTAAATTTGACAAAAATTAGCATACACTATTTTATTGAAAAATTTATAGAAAATATGATTATATAAACCAATAAGTTCATACCTTAATTATCATTGCTTAAATAGTTAAAAGTATTTTCAACTAACTCTCGGTCACATTTTAGTTGACTAGGTAGTATACCTCGAGTAAGCATCACATCTTTCTTCATATGGGGAATTCGGTAATTATTAGTTCCTTTAACTTTCATGATTTCAATCATACAAGATTGGAGTGTGAGAAAAATTTTGTCAGATTGTTTGCTAGAAAAATTATCATATGACTTTTGCACAACTTCAATGAGCTCATCAACCGATTTTGAAGCTTCCTTATGTTGTAATGACTGAATGGCATTAAAAAAACCCAGATCTAAGACATTTAAATCAGGAGAATTTGGTGGTTGACAAGATAAACGAATGTCAAATCCACCTTCAGAAGCTGCTTTACAAAATTCTTCGTCGTTAATAGAAACATGACATGGAGCATTATCTTGTTGTATATAAATTGTTTCCATTGCATGTTCTTTGGGCCATTTTTCTTTAATTGCAGGTAACACTTTATTGATTAGAAAATTTCGACTAACTTCTTTAGTGATAGAAGTAATTGGCTTAGTTTCAAGTGTACCCGAAGCTCTATTGACACTTGACCTTTTTGCTGCTACTTTCTGAACCAGAGGAAAGACGCCAATTTTTCCTGAAAATATCTCTTTATCATCGTCATCAAATCTAGGCCTAGCGACTGCTACTAAAAACATGACCTTGCCAATAAAATTTTTATTTTTGCATGTGCGATATGGCTCATCCTCATTTTCAAGAAGGTAGTAGTTTGCCGATTTTTTGGTCATGTAGAACCACTTTTCATCTATGTGGATGATATTATGCATAGACTTAAACTCTGGATCATGAGGAAGACTAGTTTCTTCAAGCATTGACAAGCAAAATCTAAGACGATCTTTCATATTACTATCTTTCATGTGTGGCTTTAGAGCATTTGAATGCCGACGCAAAGTCCCATCTTTTACAAACTTTAACAATGCTGTTTTGCTAATGCCCAAGACAAATGCGAGGCTCTGAAGAGTGCTACGTTTAGCTAACGGAATATCCCACACTTTTTCAATATCTACCGTAACTCTTTTTCGATCACAATTTTTTGTTCTTTTATGAGACGCGTCACCTGTTTGACATACTTGCTTCCAAATGCGATAAATAACGTAGATGGATACCGAGTATTTGGATGCCAACCATATAACAATTCTGGATTCCAGTTTTCCACCATAACTATTCTTTATCAATAATTGGGAAATTATTTTCCGCTGGTCATTGTTCAAGAATGATCTTTTTTTCTTAACAGTTTGTGTCTCATGTTGAACCATGGTTGACACTGCATGTAAAAAAGTGAATATAATGAGAAAAAATGTTACTGCATGTTGTTACTAAGTGTTTATGCATGTTTTATGTTTATCATAAAAAAATGAATAGAAAAAGTATGATGACACAGTAATAAATAAACCAAAAGTAATGATATAAACAAACCAAAATTAATGATATAAACAAAATGTTTAAAATAAATTGATTACAGTATTGTTTACTAAATCCATCTTCATATTGATTAAATTCAGTCTCCTCTCTATCATCTTCATTTGGATTAAATTCACTCTCTACAACTTTATAAAACAAAATTGAAAGTAAAAATAATTAATTAAGTTGTTTAATGGTTATCCAACATGAAAGAGCATATTACCTTCTTCCATGACATAAACTTCATTTGAATAGAGAGCATCTACATCAATGTCTTCACCATGGTTAGGAAATCCATGTTCAACTTCATTATCATTACTTGAAGAAGGATCATTTAGATTAATGGAAGGTGCTATGTTGCATTCCATCATTTCATGATCAACATATGGAGAGTTTAGATCAATATTAAGAGGCATTTTTATTAAAACCAAATGACAATGATACAGGAAAAATAAGCTTTAGTATTTATAGAGCTCAACTTTGTAGTACAAGGCGGGAATGTATTTTGGAGTATGAAAATTTTGGCAAACTTTTCAGGCGGGACAGTTTTATATGAAAACTTAAAATTTTACTACATTTTTAAGGTGGGAGTTTATTGGTTGCAATGAGAGTATATGGAGTGAGAAAGTTTAAGAGTTTAAAAGTGGACATTTATTAGTTGCATTATAGATGCACCGATAGAAACAAAAGGACCAATAATTAAATGGTTATAAAAAAATTATTAATTAAATTCTAAATTAATAAATAAGGGTAAATATGGAAAAAATGCATATTTCTCACCATTTAAATGAATATATGACCACTTTCTTAAAGGGTGAGTTTTTTTTTTTTTGCTTACATATAAGACCGGAGGGAGTATCTTTTAGGATTTTTCATATTTTAACACGCCAGTCACAAGTCATGTTCTCCAACACAATGTGGTTGTGTTCATTGGCAATGCTTCCCTAATTATTATTTTTTTGGCTTTTCTTGCTTTGTTTAGCTATTAGCGGTTTGGCACTAAGACTTCCATTTATTGAGCTTTTGCTTTGAAAATACTTATGATTTTCTATTTTTTCCCAATTCCCAAAAGTGTAATAAAACTGTAAGACAATTATAAAACTAAACCAATTAAAGGAACTTATCCTAAAAATCAACATTTAATTTAATGAAAAACTGATTATTATTGAGTTTAATAGTATGAAGGGTAAAAATTATGTCTTAAATTTGTTCTTCAAATTTAAATTTGTCCAACGAATTTGTCTTGTTTTTGACCCTTTCAATTTTTCCTTTGATCCGTTTTTCAAACTCATCCTCTCCCATCGAATTTAACTTGTTTTCAGCCATGCCTTTTCGTGTCACTTCCATTGACAAAGCCAAAATTTGCCAACGATTTTGACCTGACTTTGGCTTCTAGGTTTTTAAAAGATGATCTCTCTTATTCAACAGACGGTCCTTTTTTACTTTGCTTTTCCATTACTCGGCCTAAAATGATAAAAAACAGAAATAAAGTATGATCAATTTATAATTATCAATACCATTCTTAATTTAACTCAAATCATGAGTTTCTTGTGTTACTTCATATCTAAGTGAACCGATAAATGTGTCAAAATGATAATGACTATAATGTAAGTTTAACTCTTATGGATTTTCAATTTTATTTTGGGTGATTGGAGTTAGATTTGGAGACTTATTTGTGTAATTTAGATCATTTTTATTAAGTTATATGCTATTATTTATATAACAATATTTTTCGCTATGAATCATGTTCATTTAATTTCAATAAACTTTCCAGTTTTACACGAGTTTGATGAATGTTTTGTTTTATGACTGATCTAAAGATTAAAAAAAGGAGTTATTAAAATGTTTTAGGTTTTATACGAGTGTGATAGATGTGAAATAACTTTATTAATTGATTTTGACGGATTAAATAGACGGAAAGACTGAAATAATTATTTATTTGAGTAAAAAACGGAGACAAAGACCAAAAATACTACAAAACTACTGGATGTGAAAGAAAACATTTTTAATTCATCATAAAGATATCATAATCGATGAAGGATTATTCTTGATTAACATATTTTGTGCATATGTACACTCATATTTGTTAACACGTTCACATAGTTGTTTGTTTTTCGAAAAATATAAAGAAATTTGATCCTCAAATTCAACTTCAATAAACTTCGAATCTTCCTAACCATACTCCAACCAGAAATATTGCCATTACCTTCCTTTTTAAACATATCCATGAATATGATAACACTGAAATCCATTTGAACCACCAACCTGTTTGTTGGAACATGTCCATGTTCCAATATGTTGAATTTAAAAATATCTCAAGTCCCACATTGTTAGAATATTTTTGTTGGTTGAAAAAACCATTTAGTCCCACATTGCTCATGTGAGAAATATTAACTATCCTACTTCACTATATAAGGAGTGCATATGTTTCATTTCAAATCACACTAAAAACTATTCTATTAGTTTTTCCTTCCTCACTCTCATAACTCTGCGTCTCTCGAATTGTCGAAGCGCCATCTTCTTCCCCTTTCTTCCTACTCGTTGAATTTTCCGAGTATTTTCTTGAATTCTCTTTAGAGAATTATGTTAATTTCTCCTCATTTGAGTTGATAAATTTTCAAGTTTAATATTTTGGATTCTCTTTGGAGAATTATTTGAATTTCTCTTTGTTAGAGAAATTATTATGAGTGGTCAACTGACCATTATTAATTTCTCTTTGGAGAATTATTTGACAAATTATTATGACTGGTGTATCAGATACTAGAGCGGTGTTGATATCATATTTGAATGGTCTTGTACCATAAGAGGGTGTATTTCTAGACCGATTATCTATAGTATCCTAATTTTTTTTTGTGCCAATTCTAATCCTTCCAACATGCTGCAAAGTTCAGCAACATAAGTCGTCGGGGATTCAAGAGCTTTTGAAAAACCTCTAACCCACCTACCATCGTCACTCCTTAATACTCCTACTACTTTAAAATTTTGAAAACTATAATTAAAAATAAAATTATTCTTATAGAATAATAAGAAAAAGGAAAAAAACTATATTTCCTCCATTCATTTCAATGGGAGACATATGCAGTCGACATCATCGTATTTGTTGAGCAAGAAAATACCATCACCGTCGCTTAGCCTCACACCCACGCATCAAACAAAAACGAAACTCGAATCACTTTACTATATAAATACTCATTCAATAAAAAGAGTCATTTTCGTAAACAGCAGTGCCCGAAGTGTGTAGAGAGTTTGAGAAATGGCGGTACTCCCACTAGTAAAGCTAGGAACACTAGTTTTGAAAACAGCTTGCAAACCCATCGCCAATAGGCTCAAAAAAGAAGCTGGATATCACCCTAAGTTTCGCAATTTCATCATCAGCATTGCACAGACCAATCACAGGTTTACCACGAGAATTCAGAGACGCATTTATGGTCAAGCTACTGATCTTGCAATTCGTCCTCTCAATGAAGAGAAGGCTGTTCAAGCTGCTGCTGATCTCCTTGGAGAATTCTTCGTCTTCACTGTAATCATTGTTATTAGTTTTGGTGTTATTTGTTTCTTGTTTGATTGAATGCATTCTACCTGTTTGTGTTTTTACCCTGTGAAGGATTGTGTCTTTATTGTTGTACGATTTGTGTGCCAACTGACCCTTTTGCATAGTCTTACTTCTTAGGTGCTATATGTGGAAGTGGGATTAAGTTTAAGGTATGGTTAGTTGGTGCTCAGATGTTTAAACTTACTTCTTGTAGATTTTGCTGTAAACTCCCATTGATTTCTACCTGAAGCTGCCTAAGGTTCCCCTTCATGCAGCTTTTTGTAGTGTAAGAGCTTTTATAATACTGTTTAGGCCACGCTCTTATGTGCTTTCTGTTCCGCTTGGGAACTAGAAATGATTGGTGAGACAGTGAGATGAGATATTGGATTGGTGCGGCGGAGAGTGGACTGACTTGTAAGGTTAACATTCCTACGTCCAAGTTCAAGTTCTGTGAGATAACAAAGAGTAATGTAATAGTGAAAATGAGTTTGAATACCTGAAATGAGGGGTTTTCTTTCTTAAATAGTGCGAGCGGTTAAGTCCGTCCGCATGGGAGGAGGCGTGTTGTGAGGGTGATCGTTGGATTAATCAGACGATGATTGATGTGTTTGGAGGGTGGAATCATCTGCTCTTGGCGGAGGGAGGGATCACCTAATCTATGTGCTCCTTCACTTGATTTCACTCTTGGGTCTTTCACTATGGGTCTTGCGCAACACTTCCCTTGTCTAGAAAAGAGGAAAAATACATTTCAACCCGGGCATAATATATTGGTTGTATTGTTTGAGAAGGTGTGAAACGAGGCTTTCTGTCAAAATCTAAGTTGTGACAATTTCAAAAATGATACTTGATTGATTTTGTGTCCAATTCTTAAACTGAATATTACATACATTCATAAAAAAAGTGCTTTCAGTTATGTGTAGAATTCCCAGCTATTTAGTTCCATTTCTTGCATACAAGAATAATAGCATACTATTTTCTTATCTGAACCATACCAGCTTATCAAGATTTCTCTTGTCATCTATGGTCTTTCTAACAACTAGTATGATTTTATATATATATATATATATTATAAGTTCAATTTCCTTTTATTTAGGTTGCAGGAGCTGCTGTAATCTTTGAGGTGCAAAGAAGTTCTAGATCAGAGGCAAGAAAGGAAGAACAACGCAGACGTGAAATACAGGTTGACTTTTAACCAATCTCCTCATTCTGGACTACCTTTCTATGGGGGTATAGATTATGTAGGGATTTCATTGAAGCAAAGCAAAGTTTGTCATCTTGCAGTCTGTTAACTGGAGGGGCAGAAACAGCTATAGGGGCCAAATTCTAAATCCCAATTATGTGCTCACATTTTTGTATCATTGCAGGCAATTAAGACTAGAAGTGAAGAGTTGGGCATGGAAATTGAAGTTCTTGCACAAAAACTTGAAGAGCTGGAACAACTTGCTAAAGGACAGGGACTTGCTAGAGTTCTTAACTTCAGGCAAGCCAATGCCGGGGAAGATAAAAATTCAAAATCACCTTCGGACAAAATCTAATGGTATGTTGACATTGAGGATTAGTCTTAAATACACCCATCCTCAAATTTGTCAATGTGCTCTTGCTAAAAAGTTTCTTTTTGAATACTAATGGCATGTTATGTTTCACATTGGGAAGGTCTCAAATCACCTTTGAGCAAAAATTACAAGAGAGTAGAACTTTCATGATAGAAGCCAACCACTTTTATCCAGGCTCCGGATAATCACATTTCCCTCATCTAAAGTTTTGTTAGTCAGTCACTTGATACTCTTCACATTTGTCAAATGATCGACAGAAAATAAGTCCCTACTAATTAAATAATTGCCGGACATTATTTAAGACAAATCAGATATAGTACAGTTTTCTTGGTTTGGCCTTTCAACCTCTGTCTTTCTGAGTTAACAGCTCGAAGGACAAACTTTTTGCTGCATGTTACTTGGCTTTGGATTTTGTTTTCGATTTGGATCTCTTAAATATTAATTTTAACTTTTTAGTCTTGAAGGTTGTATTTAACAATTTTGTTTTCGATTTGGGTCTTTTAAATATTAATTTTAACTTTTTAGTCTTGAAGGATGTATGTATTTAACAACGTCTGGCTTTCGAACAATTATCTTCAATTTAATTCTCTAAATTTCTCATTTATATTAGAGTCAATTTTAATAGTATTTTAAAAATCGAACTGAATCGGTCAAATTGAAAATTGGACGAGTCATCGGTCTCTTCTGACGGTTGAATCAAGTAGGCTATTAATTAGGGGTGTTCAAAACCGAATCGGTCCAATATAAAACTGCAAAACCGAACCAAACCAAACTAAAATTGTAAAAAATCGCATTTGGTTCGGATGTGTTTGAGTAATTTTTTAACAAAACCGCGTGGTTTGGTTTGATTTGTGGTTTGTATTTACAAGGCAAACCAAACCAAATTGCATTATGTTACAATCCAAACTTCACTTAACTACATCCAACTCAAACCCAAACTTATTATGTCTTACTCTTATGATTACGAAAGATTCTTTTTTTATCACACTTAAGGTTTCAATTTAAGTCTTATCATCTCATAGCGGTATCACGCATTCTTCTCATCTTCTTTTCCAAGTACATATCGTCTCTTCTTCTCTAGTCTTTAATCTTTTTTATTCTTTTTTTTTTCATCTTATTATTTTTATTCTATTGTTCTCTCTTTCAATTACGTTTTAAATGCACATTTTCTTCTCTAATCTCTCATCTCTTCTGATCTTTCTTTTTCATCTTCTTTAATCTTTCATCTTCTATGTTTTTCTATTTTATTATAAGTTTTTGATATTGTTTTATGCTACTATTTTATATTTTTGTTCCATTTTTCTCTAATATTATTTTTGTATATTAAATGAAAAGTTGTTGTTCAAATATAATGAATTTTGTTGTTATTTGATAACACATAAATGAATAAATAAAAACTATGATGTCATTTATATATGTATGTATGACTCAATTTATTTTTAAATAATCGAACCAACCAAATCAATCCAAACTGCATTGTTTTGGTTTTATTTTATTTTATTTTTAAAAGTCAACCGAACTAAACCGAACTGCACACTTTTTCTCTTGCGATTCTGATGATTTTTTACGTCAAAAACGTCCAAACCGCACCGCGAACACCCTTATTATTAACTAATAGAAACCAATCAAAACTAAAAAACTGGCGGTTTTTTCAAAACCGTCAAATTAAAAAAAATAGTTTTTTCCTGACAAAACGACATTGTTTCTATAACTTAAATTTTTTTTATTTATTTGAAACAACTTTCAATCGTAAAAATCAAATTTATTAGACATTGTAATTATTTTGTTACGTTGTAATTATACTTTATTTAAAATTGTATTTTGTATTATTTTATTGTGTGTGTGATTACGTTTAAATTTTGAATTTAAAGAATGAACTTGAAATTATGATATTTTGAAGTTTTGAAATTTTGTAAGTGTGTTGATTTTTTTGAGACCGATTTAATAACTATATAGTTTTGTTATATAGATCAATTTATTCAACTGAATTATCCGATTTAATCCGATTTAGTTATGTGGTTCGACCATGAATCCAATGGTTGGTGTGTTTTGGGAAAAGGATCAATTGAAGAGAAATTTGATTGTGGTTATAGAGTATCAGTGAAACTGTAAGTGGCATTGAAAGAGTCTTAGAGCAGGAGGCAATGTAACTATAAGCGTATTCAATTGTTCTGATTTGTTGATTGTATATCATATCAAAGTATTCAAATGTATGAGATTGGTAGTGTATGCAAATTGTTCTGATTCAACTCTTCTGAATTGTTGTAAGAAACTGTATGCAAACTGTTTTAAGCATTCTTGTAAGAGGGCTTAATTAAGAAAATGTTTTATTTATCATGTAAATTCTCTTGACCTTTCAATCTTATACTAATAAACATGAAGTGGAATTGTTATCTTTAACGTGTAAATTACAAAGTGAGTATGCTTCTGAGATAATATATTTGATGTGTATTTTGGATAGCTAAGTTATTAGAGTACTGGAACAACTTGAATGTGATTTTGATTGATTTTAGGAATTGTTATATATTGGGAGTGTTGAAACTTCAATGTTGGGATAGCATCTAGTTTTTTTCTCAGGTGCAAATACATAGACTAATAATCTTCATCATATATTTTTTTTTGACAAACACCATTTCTTTAAGAAGAAGGGAAAGTAGGATGTGAGTACAAATTCAGGTTCTCATCTAGCTCAGGCATACACCCTAACCAGGTTCTTGAGCCAAGTCTTTTGCATAAGCCTACTAATAGATGTGCATCAGAATTACATTTCCTACTAATAAACATAACAACAACCTCATTAAAGGATGCAAGTAAATCCCTACACTCCACAACAATGTGATCTATACTAGCCACCAGCCGGACCTGATTAATACACTCCACAACAGTTAAGCCATCAGATTTGAAGAAGGCTTTATCAATGTGCAACTCCTTGGCCAATTGAATTCCTCACCTAAGAGCCATGATCTCAGCCACTTGAGGATTCACTGTCCCTGATTCAAGCTTACTTGTTGCTAAACAAATTTCTCCATGCAAGATTTTGATAACACAACCAAGCGAAAATGATCCATCAAAAAAACAACATGCATCGACCTGCAAAATGGTGAAATCTTTGAAACAGGGGTCATGAATCCACACAGTATCAACCTTCTGCTTCTTGAGCCCATGATGATTCAAATCATTAAATTCTAGGAGAGAATCCAGGGCAGCATCAGCCACAACTTTAGGGTCCATAACTCTATTCTGAAACACCGGTTGATTCCTTGCAAACCAAATTTTCCACAGCACAAAATAACTCAACTGCCTGCCAAAGACATTATCACTTCTGAGACAATTTTCCAGCCAGTCAACAATAGGAGTGAGAGGAGGTATCCTGCATCCAAGGGAGGATGGGAACCAAACCTTTTTTGCAAAGTGGCAATGGAGGAAGAGATGGTGGCCAGTCTCAATGGCATTGTGACAAAAAGGGCAGTAAGTATCAATTTTGAGTCCCCTCTTGCTAAGGTTATCCCTGGTTGGAAGGATCTTGTTTGCCAGCCTCCACAGGAATTCCTTGATTTTATTATGAACAGGGACTTTCCAAAGTTTACTCCACATGGTATTCTGCTGGCCACTTGAGGCACTAGAATTAAACTTGTTTCTCTCCTTGCTAAGGCACCAATAGGCAGAACGAACAGAGTATTCCCCATTTTCCTCATGGTGCTAGAGGATTCTGTCTTCATTATTTCTACCAAATAAGGGTAGGCTCCTCCTGGTTAAAGCACCTTCTAATCAGTTCCCTATTCTAAACATGAATATCAGGGTCAATTAATTCATAAATTCTTGCATGGTTCGAGAATCTTTCTGGGACTTTTGATGCAGATGCTAGAATTACCTGCTAGCCAGTTATCCTTCCACACATGGACTTTGGATCCATCTCCAATCCGCCATCTGTAGCCCTTCCTAACCACATCACCAGCACCATGAATACTCCTTCAAGCATAGCTTGGTGAGAATCTAATTTGTGCCTCCTAAATTGAGCATCTAGGAAAATATCTGCTTTTGAAAACTCTGCCTATAAGTGAATCTTCCCCAACAAGAAGCCTCCAAAAATGGTTCCCCAACAAACTTTTGTTAAAATCCTGGAAACCTCAAAAGTCAAGTCCTTCAACATCTTTTGAAACTGACAGCTTCTCCCACCTCATCCAATGTAACTTCCTTTCTCCATTCCTTGCTCCCCACCAGAATTTTGCAATCAGAGCCTCAATCTCGTCAAAACAACTATCAGGAAGTTTGTAGTAGCTCATTATATAATTGGGGATAGCTTATGCAATAGATTTGATTAGGACCACCCTACCTGCCCTAGACAAGAATCCTTCTTTCCAACCCTTTACTTTCTTCCAAACTCCCTCAACAACAAGTGAAAACACTTCCTTCTTAGATCTTCCAAACACAATTGGAAATCTCAAGTATCTAGAATGAGACATCATAGTCTTTACCTTCATTCTATGCTGGATCATTTCTTTCACCTCTTCACGCACATTTTGACTAAAAGATGCCTCAGATTTGTCAAGTTTAACAACTTGTCCCGAGATTTGTTGGTATCTATCAAGGGGTATTCAGAAGTTGGTCAGCTTCTGTAGCATTAGTTCGAGCAAACAAAAGACAATCATCTGCCAACAGTAGATGGGAGATTTTAGGAGCTCCCTTGGCCACTTTCAGTCCACGCAATTTGTTTTCCTCTCTATCTTTCTTCACAAGATCTGATAAGACATCAAGACACAAAATAAACAAGTAAGGTGAAAGAGGGTCTCCTTGTCGGATCCCTCTTTCAGGCATGATACTCTGGCTAGGTTGCCCATTGACCATAAGTTGATAGGAAACGATAGAAACACATCTTCTTATTAGTTGAACCAAAGATTATGGGAACCCCATAACTCTAAGAACTTTAAGGAGAAACCCCTCACTCAATCATATCATATGCTTTTGACATGTCCAATTTCAGAGCCATCATTCCTTTCTTGCCTTTCTTCTTCTTTTTCATCCAGTGGAAACATTCCATAGCTATTAGCGCATTGTCCTTGATCAATTTTCCTTTAACAAACGCGCTTTTCTCCTCGTCTATGATTTCTGGAAGCAGGGCTTTAAGTCTATTAGCAATTGTCTTGTTACCATTTTCATAAATACATTGCAAAGACCGATAGGTCAAAAATATTTTGGGGAGTTGGGCTTCTTGAATTTTGGAATAAGGGCAACAAAATTAAGTTAAGACCAGAGGGGTCTCTCCCATTGTTAAGAACCCCCAAAACCAAATTCATCACATTCGGACCCATAATACTCCAATATTTTTGAAAGAAAAAGGCTGGTAAGCCACCAGGGCCAGGAGCCTTCAAGGGGTGCATCTGATCAAGGGCCTATTTAACCTCCTCCTTTGAAAAAGGAGTACCACACCAATATTTCATATCATTGGACACTTTGCCTTCAACCACTGGTATTGGGCAGTCCATTTATGGGCCAAGCGCCAGCCCGACTCAAAACAGGAGTCCCCCAAGTTATTGCTTTTAGACGAGACAATGATAATTTAAGGTCTGCTGGATTGTCGGGGAAACGTTGCTCGAAAAAGAGACTGTTATTTTAACTTGAGGAGACGTTGCTCGAAGAAGATAGCGTCTTTTGGGTTGAGGAGACTTTTCCCGAGGGGAAGGCTGCTTTTCGGATCGAGGAAATATGTTCGTTAGTTGATTGATCTCTTTGTCCCTACTTTCGTGCACTAGTTTCCTCGAGGTGCCCGCGAGAGGGTGCTTCACGTCCGCAAAGAAAACACATGAATCTCTTATGATATCCTTTCCATGAGGCCCGCGTGAGGAGAGAGAGTCACAACTATGTCGCACATGTGCTCGTTGGTGAAGCTTTTGAGACCTTGCATCAGCGCATGGCTTGGCGTGGGATTCTTTGAAGTTCAAACTACACGTCCCTTCACGTGTCACACATGGAGGTTATTCAGATTGTCATCATTGCCTGAGGAAGCCTAAAGGCCTGAGCAATGATGACTCTTGGCACGCTACCCGTGTGATGGGAGTAACTATAAAAAGGGGTGAAGGAATTCTCTTGAACATTTTCACTTTCGCTCTCCTCTCGCACCTCCTCTGTTTACAAGCTGCTCTTCCGCCGTTGCCACCATTGTAGGTTTTCCAGCGTTTGTTTGTCTCCAAGTAAGTGATTTTCTTAAAGCTTTGTTAGTTTACTATAGGGCTTTAGATGATTGGATGAAGTTTTCTGGCGAATTCATGAGTTATGGGTAAATTTTTATGAATCCTCATGAAATTTCCGATGAAGTTCCTGAAGATTCATGACACTTTCGGTGAAGTTCATGGACTCTGGACGAAGATCCATGAGTTTCATATGAAGGTTCATGAGTTTTAGATGAACTTCATGTGGATCTATGTCAAGGATTGGCCCCTCGTGAATTGGGTAGATACGGGAAAACGATTCCATGTTAGGGGATTAACCCCTCGTGAACTAGGTAGATACGGGAAAGCCTCTTCTCCTTGTGATCTTATGCTCGCTTGAGGGGGTTGCTTCCTTCGTGGGTTTCAAGGGCTTGAGTCGAGGACATCCCATTGAAGTGTCCCTCACCATTTCACTTGATTTGCGGTGGAAGGGTGGATTTGATGATGTCGAATTTACTATTTTCTCCTGCTTTTCAGGTTAAATGGCTCAACCGGTCGAGGAAGTGAATTTTCCCGGTCCTCAGGGTGAAGAAAATGCCAATATGGGCAACAATGCAAATATGGGCAACGATTTGGACTGGATTGCACCCGAGCCCAAAAATGTGATGTCTGAATTCATCCACGATGCTTCGGATGCCTTCAATGTTTCCACGATGCTTCAGATGCCTTCAATGTTGTCGAGGACAGGGCCGAGGGTGCTCCTGCCTCTCGATCAATTCTCATTCCGTGCAAGAGCCGGATGATCTGTTCGTCCTACCCGGGAAAGCACTTTCTAATGTACGAGTTAGCTTTCAAGGAGGCGGGGATGCGCCTTCCCTCTACAGCCTTCCAAGTTAGAGCTTTCAGATGGCTGCACTTGGCTTCTTCCCAACTTCACCCGAACGCGCTTGCGTTTATGCGGGAATTCGAGATTGTATCCTGATATCTTAATATTAATGCTTCTTTACCTCTGTTCTTTTGGATCTTCCACCTCCAGCGGAAAACGGTCGGGGGTCTCCATGCCTGGGTGTCGTTCAAGCAGCACGAAAAGTTGTTTCGACCGTATCAGGAGTCCGTCCGACATTTCAAGGAAAGGTTTTACATCATGAAGCCACTGTCATACGTGACCATGTACTCCCAGTACGAGCGTACCTTTGAGATCAAGGATTATCGGGAGGTGACTAATTTTAGGAGAGATTCCCCATTGAGTGGAAGTGGACGCATTATGAGCAGAAGCCAGAAAGTTATTTGGTAAAGCCCGAGAAGCTGGGAGCTCAGGATAGGCTTGCCTACGATAAATTGGCGGCCTACATAAAGAGCTTCTCCCCGGCCAAACACATGGACTCGGACAATAAATTTATTTTCAATGATGAGGGGGAGAACATGGTCGTTGCCTGCCCCATAAATACAAAGACGCTCCTCGAGTGCTCATCTGACGAGGAGTCTTTATAGCTCTTAGGAAGGGGACTTTCTCGTATTAGATGTTTGTCTGTTTTGTTTTGTAGACTAAATTGTCCCCTTTTGGATTGTAGGTCGAATGACCACTTTCGAGGAACGTCTGCTTAAGTTGAGGGGTAAAGCTGGCCAAAAAGCACCCAAAGGGCGTGTTGCTCAGATCCAGGAACAAACTAGAGTTGGCGCCTAAGTCGGTGGTTCCTCTCCCATTCAAGATGGCCAAGTTTCTCCCCCTAAATAGCATGCAAAAAGGAAGCACAGGGAGTGTACATACCCTGTGGCCACTGGAGATAAAGGAAAGAGCCTCGAGAGACGTTTGTTTTGCCCCCTTGTTATCTTCGCCGTGACATTTCTACCGGGGACGATGTCCTAGGTCTTCATGAGGGGGAGAGGCAAGCCATCATGTCTGCAGGCAAGGAGGTCCGGCTCAAGAATCTGTCTGAGGATGTGGCCGCCGTGATGAGGGTTTTTGAAACAACTTTGACCCTTAATGATGTGGAGACATGCTCAAAAGAGGAGCTCGACAAAGCGTATGGCCAAATTGACAGGTTGAAGCTTCAGAACGAAAAAAATAAAGAATGATATTCTCAATCATAATGCGGAGTGCAGTAACTGGTTACTGGCATTGAGTAATCGGTTACCGCTGAAGGTTTTTGCGTGATTCACCACTGTTTTGTATGCAATAACCGGTTATTGGTATTGAGTAACCGGTTACCGCTAAAGCTGGGGGAATTTTTGAAAACTTTGAAAAATCATAACTTTCATCCCGGGTGTCTGTTTAACACGCCATTTAGACCAATACGAAGATAAAATTATTTTTTATCCTATAAAAATGAATTGGAATACAATAGATAATTATTTTGTCAACATTGATGCCTATCTGTGTGAATATTCATGAGTAACATGCTATGACTGGTATTGTGATTGAGTAAGATGATGTTACATGAATGTTTTGATTGTGTGACATGATATGCATGGTAATGATGATGATGATGATGGTCTGTATTGGTGTGTCATTGATAGGTAAGAATATCCAATGTGAAATTATGTTGTTGCATGTCAGTGTCACATACGTTCATTAAAGATGGCATGTATTGGCGAAAAATGATATGTATTGGTAAAAGATGGCTTGTATTGGCGAAAGATGGCCTGTATTGGCGTTGTTTCCCCAAGTTGGCATGTATTAAGTTGAGGGTTTTTCCCTATTGGTACCACATGCATTAAGTCAGTGTCAGTTTCACTGCATTGCATGATTGTTAGTAATTGATTATTTGAGCATTGAATGAATTTCTACTTTTGTTATGATGGATATTTTGTGTTGTTCATGCACTTAATTATATTGATGTGTTTCATAGTATGATGAACAAGAAAAGGTGTGAGGTAAATATGTATAATGATGTGTACTTGAATTTCTACCTGCTCATTATTATGCTTCCTCTTATATTGTTTTGATATCTCACCATTTCTGTTTGAATGTTACCTCTACGTGGGTAACATGCAGATGATCCGAAGTAGCTTGAGGTCGAGATTAGCTGAAGAGTACCTCAGTTTGTGTAGATTGAGTCAGTGTCTGCTCTGATTCGTAACACTTGGGGGTTTTACGATTGTTTTATTTTGTTGGGAGTGAACTTTGTATTACTCCATTGTTTTAAGTTTAATTTTATGAATTATGTGAAGTTTTGAAAGATGCTAATTACAACTCTTGTTGGAGAATTGAGAATGATTCGTTATTGATGTTTTTCTGTTGCGAATAAATACAATGAAGTTTAAGACCATTTAATATGTGGTTTGTGTTACGTATCTTACTGGATGAGCAAGTATGATGTATGAAGCATGTGGCGTCCTATTTGATGTTGTATTTTAGAAATTAATTTACTCTGATTTTTTATATAATTTATCGACGTGGAAATAGGGTATTACACGAACAACAAGGATTAAGGGTTGTAGAAAGAGTTCTCTTGGATGAAAGAAATCACCAAGTATGGGAAGCGAGGAAACCAAGTTTTTGTAATGAATATCATTAACTAATTGTGTCAATTAAAATACTACATGATAAAATATGACTTATGTGATAATGTAGCATTATCAATTATATTTATTGACTAAATATAATCATGCAGCATTTTCCAGCTGAAGCGATACATAAGGCCATTCGTCCTGACATTACTTCGTGTCTTATTCGGGATTTCGACACGGGTCAGTACCTTCCCTGCAAGATTATCAAAGCAAACAGGCCAAATGTGAAAATGTATCTTGGGAAGGGATGATATCTTTTTGCTAGATCCAAAAAGCTGAAAGTCGGAGATAAGCTTCATTGCACATACAAATCAGAGGAAGAAATTATGTATGTGAGGTTGCAGAGAAAAGGGAAGTAGAAGGGAATTTGAAGTGGAAGCTATGAAGTTGGTGCATGTTATGTTGGATTTATCGTTTAGTAATATACTTCCTTATAATTATGTGATGCAGTATGTTGTGACTTTTGTTTATTGTTCTACTTATGTTGTTGCTTGTCATTTTGAAACTTATGTTTTGTTAGTATGAAACTTATGGCTGTGTAACAATATGTAATTCACCATTATGGATGTTTAATATATCATTGTTTGATGCATATTCTAGTTAAAAAAGCATTAAGTACATATGATAATAAATATAACAACTGTTATATAACTTTGTGTAGTTGTTTAGTTATTGGCTTGCATTTTTGGTAAAACCCAAGTGTATGTGTGAATGTCATGACT